TTTTGCCATTTTTTTCTCCTTTTCCATTTTTCTGGAGGAAAAAATGACAATAATAGCTTTAAATCGGTTTAAAAGGCACGGTGCAAGAATATTCAGTTGAACATCATCTCGTATTTAAATACTTTCTGCTGATTTTAGCATTTTCAAAAAGATCAGCATGGCAATTAAAAATTCATAGAAAAATACAGCTGAATTAAAAAAATTCGATGCTTTCCACCTAGCGAGGTTCAAGTTTAGTCGCCGATAGTTAAATAGATAGAACTTATAGAAAAACAAAGTGAGAGCGTATAAGAAAGTTAAAAAAAAAGTCCGGTGTATGATCATATTGGATGGGTAGAATAGAGCGTGAAAAAGTACAAGAAAATAGATAGAAAAAGAATAAAAATGAGAGAGAAACACAGACGGACAGACAGAGCGGGACAGAGATAGATGGTTGGATTGAAATATAGATTCTGGTTACTGGCTGAGATAGATGATGATAAAGTGATAAATATTTAGATAATCAGGTGCAGAGAGAGAGAGAGAGAGAGAGAGAGAGAGTGTGTGAAAGAGAGAGACAGAAAGAGAGAGACAGAGAGAGAGAGAGAGTCCCGGAAGATGGAATTTATATGCCCAATCGTTTATACTTTTCATTAAACGTAATGTAATGTTCAATCAACTTTATTATTATTATTAAGACAGAGTGATAGAGAGAGAGAGAGAGAGAGAGAGAGAGAGTGAGAGAGAGAGAGAGAGAGAGAGAGAGAGCGTCAATGAGTGAGAAAGACACAAAATTAGAAATTGGCGTCATAGATAGATAGTTTCATGAATATATGAATAGAAAGATTGATACAGGAATAGATAAATGGAAGCATAGAGAAGAGAAGAGATAGATTGGTAGATAAAGTTAGAAAAAGTTTTTAAAAAAACGAAAGTTCAGACTGAGAAAGCGACTTAGTCCGTACAATTAATTGAAAAATTTATTATTCATTAGTTTATTAGTTGGGTTAATCGGAAAACAATGAATTGCAAAAAAAATTAACGATAAAATAAAACATATCTCCAATCCTAGTTATATATTATTATACACACGCTTAGTGCTTAAATTTATATTTATTCACATATTTAAGAAAATATATAATTTACAATTAATTAAGATTTTTAGTTGAGATGAAAAAAAGTTAATGGCACGAGAGGGATTCGAACCCACGATCTTCGGCTAGATACGCCGCTGCTCTACCACCTGAGCTACCCTTTTTTCATCTCAACTAAAAACCTTAATTAATTGTAATGTATTAATTGGTCAAGCGGACCACGAAATTAGGGAATAAAATATATAATAACTATTTATAATAAATAACACTTGGGATTTAAAACTTTAAGCATTAAGGCGACAAATTTGGACTCTTCACGATACAAACCGCAACGTGGTACATCACGCTACAAGCTATTTATTTATTTATCTTAATTTTTTTTTGCAATCATATAGCATTGATTGGACAGTTATATGATCAAATCACGACTCAATATTTAACGAAATTGACCATTTTTTCAAGTGAAGTAGTTATACAAAAGAATTACCTTACAAGCTTACTTTATTAGTAAAATATTATATGTTTGGCTTAGCTTTGGTCTATTGTTTTTTTAAATGTACTGATACCAAAATTATCAAATTACATTACATCTTTGGTCAAGCTTCTTTAGCTCGGCTAGGAATATGGAAAAATACTAGTTCCTAAAGAATTACAAATTAATTAGTTGAGTTTTTTAAATGGTAAAACTTCAGTGTTGCATTTCGTTTATGAAAACTGTACTAATTAAAAATATTTCAAGTAATAACTAATGCCCTTTTTTAACCCTAAAAATCAAGTTAAATTTAATTTTGCCCCATGGTAAACTCTTTTAAAAGATCATTTTATTTTCAATTCATAAAAAAGTAACAGGGCTAATAATCTACTTTTTGAATCAAGCGTATTCTTCAGTAATTCTTATAATTTTAAAGAATCGATCATAAATTCTCGTACGGTTTGTTGGCTCCAACTAATCCTGCAGATATGAAAGTTGTCCAATTGGCCCGAGGGCAGTGCGGAATAATAAAACGAATGCTTAAGTCAAATGGTCCGATCCAAAAAATATTTTTGCTTTTTAACGTCACTTGGGTTCAAGGGCCGATATTTTTGAACCGGTAGCTTCTTATTTAGAAGGCTTCTACCGCCTTTTAGATAATAGTTTAATCGCTACGTTACACCTTCTAATTAAGTTTTGTTTTCTAAGTTTCTCCTTTAAGTTTGCTTACAGAAAAAAATAAAAAGGGCTACTGCGAACTATTTGTTGTTACGTCTGTATGAAAACTATCTTCTTTTGTAGCAGAGGTTATATCAACCCTCGGGGTTCCGGTGTTTTTGAAAAAAATCCCGTTTGTTTGTATGTCGAGTTCGAATGCAGGACCGCTGGATTCGAACCCGGGACCTTTACCTTTCAGTGATGAGCGTTGTGTCAACGCCGAAACCGTTGCGGCCACCGACGCCCACATTGTTGTTCTCTATTATACGGATATTATTTTAAGTAATAAAGCTGTGACATTTCATCTACGTAAGCTTTATGAAAGTCTGCTCTCTGTCTGCACTAGCAAAGAACATTTCGGATTTTTCCTTGTGAATCAGAACCCTATTCTTCAACAAGAGCGATTTGAAGCTGTTCAACGCTTGTGGGAGGCGGCGGACTATGTCTAACCTGTCCCTTTATCACGTCCCACAAGTTTTATGTAGGATTCATGTTAAGAAAACACCTGGCCAATACATTGTGGTATCCTTTACTCAATGAAGCTTAGTGCGATTCCATGATAATCATATCAGTACGGGCACAAACCAAATCGGCACTCATCTGTGAAGAGGTCATCATCTTTCTACTCGAGGCTTCGTCATTAGTACAGAACCTAAAGCGGGGCAACTACCGGGCTATCCTCACCAAGTACTAGCTAGCAAGAAAAAAGTTAAATTATAATTCTATCTCAACATCTCAAGCCGTCTTACATCGCGGTCTACCACTACCTTCAATCGAAACTTCCGACTAACCCCCGTAGACGATCGAGGGTGTTAAAGCTTGGCACGACGAACACTGGATCGAGGTATTGTCTTAAAGATAAAAAGCAAATTTAGTCGCTTCTGCCAAGATTTCGGACCAATTTTAAGGTCATCATCACGGAAAACAACCTTAAATATGTACACAGATTGACATTTTTAAGTTTTTACAGGCTATTTCAAATTTCCTTGAAGACCGAATCCCATCATTGCAATGGCCTGTAACTGTATAGGTATGACCTTCCGTTTTCTTGTTAATTATTAACAAAAAATTACTATCACCGTCCTTGGAAATGTTAGGACTGAGAATTGAGGAAATTTAAGATCGCCTGAAAAAACTTAAATATGTCAATTTGTAGATATTTCCAAGGACAGTGACAGTAATTTGTTGTTAATAATTAACAAGAAAACAGAAGGTTATCCCTATACTTCAAGAGCTTGGCAATGATGTGATTCGGTCTTCAAGGAAATTTAAAATCGCCTGTAAAAACTTAAATTTGTCAATCTGTAGAGTATTTAAAATTTGTTTTGCCCTGATGATGACCTTAAAATAGGTCGAAAGCTTCGCAGTATCGACTATTTGCTTCTTATCTTCAAAACCATACCTTCGGTCTAGAGTGTTTGTAAGTGAAAAATTAGTCGTTACTTCTAATATTGAAAACAGCTGGACACACCTAGGACTTGGGCTATGTGACGGACGCCAATGCATCTGCCCGGGCGAGATTTTCGCTACTTAAAAACATGCTTTTAATTAAAAATTTAATGTGTTTAATGACCGTTAGCCAATGATTATTCGAAGATCGCGAGATGCATCTGGTATGACGTAGGTTTTAAAAAAGCGTTTTCTTTAACGTGCCAACGTTTCGATCTTTATTGAGATCATCTTCAGGGCCTGGGATTTATAATTTTGAATCTAAAAAATTTTCTAGCATTGTATAAATTTATTTTTTTAATCTAAAATCTTTTAGCATTGCATAAATTTAGTTTTTTTCACATCCTACATGTATTTGTAAAATTGAAACAATGTTTATAAATCCCAGGCGCTGAAGATGATCTTTATTGAGATCATCTTCAGCGCCTGGGATTTATAATTTTGAATCTAAAAAATTTTCTAGCATTGTATAAATTTATTTTTTTAATCTAAAATCTTTTAGCATTGGATAAATTTAGTTTTTTCACATCCTACATGTATTTGTAAAATTGAAACAATGTTTATAAATCCCAGGCCCTGAAGATGATCTCAATAAAGATCGAAACGTTGGCACGATAAAGAAATTTTAGGAAAAGGATAAAATTGAACAGAATGTCATTATTTTTAATCTAAAGAGTGTGAAACGATTAGTAACACTCTAGATAGATAAACACAAATTAGTATTGTTGTTTTTGTGTTTTAAGTCATCTATTAATCCTTACACGTCTTTACTAAGAAAAATAAATAAAATAAAAGTGTCCGGTTCTGCCAGTAGTTTTAATAAATTTCAATTCGAACATAAGAACGGGTTTTATCTGTTCTAGTTATTTTTTCACTAAGCCAAAGGATTTTAGGGGCCTTAAACTTGTCTGATGTTTTCTCTTTGTGTCATTTACAAAAGCAACATTAGGTTTGATTATAAACAGAGCTAGTTCAAACTCGAGGTATGTAAACAAGCCAGCAATCTAAGGCCATCTATGACACTCGGTTATTTACCGTCCCTTGGCAATTATTTGAGAAATTCCGTCTCCATATTTTGCAAAAGGACCAACAGTCGTCCTTATGTGATTAATGTGTTGAACACGCTTGGGGCAAATATTCCATCCGGCTATGTTGTTGGAGGATTGTTCTGCGAATACCTGCCATGAAAATTCACCGACGGACATAACGGCTAAACACGGCCTTTTTTATCGTACTAGTTTAATTGTGATTATCGAACATGAATTTATACATTATTCTATTTGTTTCAGGTATGTATCCCGAGTTCTTGTTGTGTGAGTAAATATTTTTTTTTTAATTTTGAACAAAAGCCATTTCTTTACTTTGAACCGTTGCAGAATAAATGAACGGATGAATTGTGTATCCTTGGCTTAAATATAGCCGCTTTCAAAAACGAATCGTACAGAAATAAATATACGCTATTATTGAATGTTTCTTAAAACGAATTTTCTAATTTAAATTCCTTCTTGTCGCGTCGCGTTTGTCTTGTTCGTTTCGCACTTTTCTGGATAGTTTCCCACACACGCATTGAAAACAATTAATCAATTATACACTTATTTAACCCGCTGAATAAGACTGAAACATTAGCCTCTCTATGGTCAGTCTAATTAATTATTTGGGTGTTCAATTTACTTCAAGTGGTACAAACTTTAAATATACATGTTCTAAAAATACTTTTGACAATTAAATAGATAGAATTAGATGGTTTGTCCTTTATTTACAAAATCTTATATAAAATCGACACACTTTTTCCATCAAAACGGACTTTATTTTCGAACTAGCTTTTTTACAAATAGTTAGAATATCTTTGAAAACCTATGGTGATTTAGCATTTTAGAAATGCATGGGTAGTTTTTCATAATTTTTCATTCAACGAGAAAAAGGATTAAGGATACAATTTTTTTGTATTGAAAAGGATAGACACTTTTCAAGCGAACTAGATCTGTAATATTCGAACAATTAAGCTGGATCAAATATTGGATATTAAAAGTGGCAGATTGCACTAAAGCATGTTTATTACAAGTAGTTCAATGAACTACCCTCTCAGGTGGTCATTAATCAATCTAATTCATTTTTTGATATTTAATTATTTAACAGGCTGATTATTTATACAGATAAATACTATACATCAGTAGGTAAACAAATACAATAAAGATATTACATAAATAATATAAATATTATATATATTTACATTGGATACTATACACTAAACACATGAAAAAACAGAAATTATTTTTTAAATAGAACAAATTTCACTATTAATTATTAGAGTTTAATACATCTTTCAATCAATCCCTTGTCTTTAATATTCTTAGCATCGGCTGATTTATAATATAATTTGTATCACTTTGAAAAAAAAGTAGGAACTTCAAACTGGATTAATGTTAATAACTAGGTACAATCTATTACATTATTATTTGGAGATCGTGAGGTGCGGTCATGTGTTACGTAGGCTTTAGAAAAACATTTTCTTTAACGTGCCAACGTTTCGATCTTCATTGAGATCATCTTCAGGGCTCAAAGTGTTTGTTTTCTGTGTAGATGTATTTTGGGCATTCTCAACACGACACACAAGAATTACACAAGAATGACACATCTACACAGAAAAGAAACACTTTGAGCTCTGAAGATGATCTCAATAAAGTTCGAAACATTGGCATGATAAAGAAAATGTTTTTCAAAAACCCACATCACACCAGACCGCACCTCACGATCTCCAAATAATCTTTGGCTAACGGTCACTAACTGGGTTATAATATTACATGATTTAACTAATATTACATTATTTAACAACTTATATTTAAAAAAGTCACATACCTGTCTTCCTCATGCTATTCTATTCAACCCCAATGCTCTTTGAATTGTTACAAAGGGATGAGGATCCCTATGTATATTGAATTTTATAAGAAACAAATCGAAGAAATTTATTCTGTACAAGTTCGATCTGACCAATTCGGGAACTATGAATTGGACTCCAGACAATACAGCTGTACTTTAATCTGCTCCTTACATAAAAAACAATATAACATTTTCAATACAGTCCTATCATTAAAATCACATGAAATTCTTAATATAAATCCCAACTATGGGCACTCTCCAAACGACACACAAGAATTACACATCTAGACGGAAAACAAACACTTTGAGCCTGAAGATGATCTCAATAAAGACCGAAACGTTGGCACGATAAAGAAAATGTTTTTCTAAAACCTACGTCACACCAGGCCGCACCTCACGATCTCTAAATAATAAATCCCAATATCACACCTGAGGCATTACATTATGAAAGTTGGGACAGAAAAGTCTCTATAAGAAAAAAGTAAATCGGAGAGGAAAAGATCAAATTATAACTAACTCCATGTTTAAAAAGTTTTAGAAATATTGTACATTTAATCCAGCCACTTCTATACATATACAAAAATTCATTACAGAAAACTGCTCTTGTTTTGTTCCATTGCAGCTATGCAAGTAACAGAATACACTACTCGTAAAAATATTTCACGCGATAATATTTTTAAAAAATGTGTGGTGATTAGTGATAGTTAATCGATAATTATTCAGAAATCGTGAGATGCGGTCTGTTGTGATGTAGGTTTCAGTAAAACATTTTCTTTATCGTGCCAACGTTTCGATCTTTATTGAGATCATCTTCAGGGCCTGGGATATGAAAACTTCTTGTTATATTCCATTGCGGCTATGCAAGCAAACACATAAAAATGTTTCACGTGATAAATAACGTTTTAACAATGTTTTTTTTTAATCCTTATCCTTAAGATAAATTTGTTTAGGTACTCGTTTTCTAAAGAAATTCACTTACTCCAAGGGAATATATTACCACTTTTTTATAGATGGATCAGTTACAAATTCTAATTGCATAATATAACAAATGTCACGCCGTCAAAAAAATATTTATTCAGAATCTTTATAAACATTGCAATAAATTAATCAACAATCCATTAGATCTCGTGGCCCGATTGACCAAATAACATGTTTCAATTAATTAATCTTTATGTAAGGTATTGGTTGAGATAAAAAAGTCAGTGTCACGGGATTCGAACTCACGACCTTCGGCTAAAAACGCCGCTGCTCTATCTCCTGAGCTATCGTCACTTCGTAGCACAAAGTAGGGAAAATCCGAAAAGTGGTGTTGAGATGGGAAGTTGGTGTCCGAGTGGATCGAAGTCACGATAGCTAAAGTGATATAGCAGCGGCGTTTTTAGCCGAAGGTCGTGAGTTCGAATCCCGCTCGTGACACTGACTTTTTTATCTCAACCAATACCTTACATAAAGATTAATTAATTGAAACATGTTATTTGGTCAATCGGGCCACGAGATCTAATGGATTATTGATTAATTTATTGCAATGTTTATAAAGATTCTGAATAAATATTTTTTTGTCAGACGGCCAATCATAGCCTTGTAATTATAAAATTCTTCAAAAACATAATTAAATTTGCATTATTAATTTTTAATTGGGTAATGGATGTTTATACAATAAAATGTAGGGAAAGAATCTTTACTTAAATCGACTTTTGCTGTCTGTATCCATGCCTCTTGCACCGAATGTATTTATCCTTGATATATTATTTTGGAAAACTGATGTAGCTCATTTCTATTTTTCCTCTGGGTCAACAACTTAATCTATGCCGCAAAATTGCCAACCATTTTCTACCGACAATGTACTAATTTCCTTTGACATGTGATACTTATTTTTAGTCTTTCGTTATTAATAATGATGATGGAGTTTCACTATCTGTATTATTCGTAAATTATGTTTCAGAATTGTTAGGTGCCTAATTTCGTAAGCAGTCCAATGACTTTATGACTTAATGACACTATTGCCAGTAGTTCGGTTTGATTAATTGAACAAACACAAGTCACGTTATATTTACCTTCAACGACGGAATCATTATCTAATCAAATGAATATCCAACTTCATCACCATCCTTAATGTCATGTAAATAATAAAACCTGTTTTTCTCCCATCATGATCTTTTTTAAATTAATCTTTTCATGTAAGGTATTGGTTGAAATTAAAAAGTTAGTGCCACGAGCGGGATTCGAATAAAAATAAATTATTACTAATTTTTAAGATAAAAAAGTCAATGTGGCAGGTGGGATTCGAACCCATGGTCTTCGAAACAATATCCCGACGCTATATCATCTTGAACAATTGTGTTAACTAATGTAAAACCTACTTGGTTACCTGCTTTCTTTAGTCAAAGAGCTCAGTGTTCCTTAGGTTAAATTGTGGCACTTCATCATCCCTAATAATTCAGGGAAGATATATAGCATTATTGAAAATTTTCAATCCGCAGGTTGGGGTATTTTATTTAGGACGTACCTGGAGTTAAGAAACTGCAGCCCATTGCTTCCCGTACGTACTCAGAGCCCTTAAAAGGACATGAGGATCGTTAACGTCCGTACCTAGCCTTTTCGGCCCTACCGGACGTTTTGATTCTCGTGATGAGATATGACGCACCTTTGCTCGAGACTGAATGGATGTTACAGGCGCAAGTTTTGGTTTAGAAGCCGCCTCGAGACGAACCTCACTCTCGCTTGTCCTTTCCGAGTGGATGGGGCTGGATTAAGCACTAGACCGTGAGCCGCTCGGCAAAGGGTAACCCAAGGTGGCTGAAATCCATCAGCCTGGATCGTCCTGCCGGCTCCCTAGATAGAGAAGGCGATTCGATCTGCAAGAGTATTGGAGCTCCTCCAGCATAAGAACTTCCAGATCTGCTCCGGCTGCGGTTTTGTTTAAAGTGGAGTTTCTAACCACCCCCTAAAGGAACACTGCCCTCGGAAGGAAACCAAGAACGGTATCCGTCTATGCAGACAGGATTTGGTACCCTAACCCTCGTGTGCCTCTGATAAATCTGATCCGGAGGCCGACGCGAATCTAGCTTGTCCTTTAGAGAAGATGCCACGCTCCCAAGGCTACACCATTATGTTGGGCCTGGATACCCCTCTTGCATCCAAGGGTTGGGTGAGGTCTCAAGGAAGTATAAAAGGACCTAGATTGAGAAGTGACCGAGAACATGAGGCTCACCTTTCCAGGTTGCAACCCCCGCCTTGGCCACACTGTACCATCCATTGTCACCGTAGTTCCACATTTAATGGGCTATGGCTCCCCTGGATGGATAGAAGAGATGAGATGGCCGTTCCAGCGCCGAACCCCATTCCGACCAGTCATCTCGAGGGACGAATTCGAGGTTGTGTGACCGCCCGACACACACAGCTCGGATTATAGCTGTTCAATCTCAGATACCTTTCTCCACATGGCTGAATTCTTTCCCCTATGGGTAACGGATTCTCACTGGGGTTCACACATCAGCCCTCACGGGCTGCAACCACTCCTCCCCGGAAGACCACCCTCCCCAGGTGGTATTTGCAACTGTTGGTCGGGCAACGGCCAT